TCGGAGACCTTTCCAGAGCCCGCATGAAACATTCTTACTTCAGCAACTTTGGACATGCAAAGCCGCCGCGCCTACAGGAGCGACGATCAAGGCTGCGGCGAAGGAAAGCCAAGAGGTTCCGTACATCGCAAGCGATGTACAGCCAGTTCCAACCAGCCCCGCACTTCCCATCAAAACCCACTTTGACTTTGGGAACAAAAGGAGACCTGGCCCTCAATACTTCCGACCACTCCTATCATTCCTAAATCCACCATACCAACCCCAGAATCCCTCGGAGTGTTGCATGAGGTAGCAGCCACTGTTTGCAAGGAGGAAATGCAAAAAAAAGGAAAAGAAAAGGTCCTACCGAGGTTTGAACTCGGGTTTCGGGTATCAAAAACCCGCGTGCTGACCACTACACTATAGAACCGTTGAGAGCGAATACAGAATAAGCAAAATATGTACCTTTCACACTCCAAAATCGGCTACAAATTTGGAGAATTGGACGATTTTGGAAGCAAACCGCCACCATTCCTAATATCTAAGAAATGTTTGACGATTTTTGGGGTTCTTCAGAGCCTTCCGAAGGTTTGGAATTTGCCAGAAGAGTTGCCGAAAGATCAGATACCGAGATATGCGAGAGCGGCTTGGTGTTGTCTTGGGACAAAAGTGGTATAGAGCGAGGTGGTTTGGGTCTTGTCGACTTTGATTGTGATGGGTGTTGTGGGAGTGGATCTTCTTGCCTGAGGCGTTGCAGTCGGCGTACATGTGATTCTTGGATCTGCGATAGGTGCACCAGCCGTTGCGGTTGGGAACGGGATCATCAGAGCGGAAAGAACGTCTTTCCTTGAAGATACCGAAGAAAACAATTAGAATTGTCTTGGATCAGTGTATGCATATATATTTACAGTTATGAGGGCATCTACTTTGAACATGTGCTGAATATGATATGAGGTTGTGCAATATAATATTTACAAATGAACCGACTAAATGTAGGATCAACACTCTCCTTGATGTGCCACCACCAAAGCCGGCTGCCGCAAAGCAGCTTGTTTGCACTGCGCCTCCTCAAACTGGCACGCGTTCCCGAACGTCACACCGCTCGTCGTGCATATCGGCTCCCAAATCATCGTACACATTCTTTCACAGGCGGCAATCATGTCGTCGACGTTGCATTCGCCTTTGTGGAGGATGTTGAAGTTTGTCGAGGGATGGTGGCACTGGGCGATTGCGAGGCGACATTCGTTTTCGTATGTTGTGACGGTGAATCCAGTGCAGACGCAGATGGGAGCGTAAACTGCGGGACATATGGTACCACATTTCTTGATTTGTGTTGTTTCGACGTTGGCGGGCGGAGGTGTTAGCGGAACAGGAGAAGCGATGGTGGAGGTGGTGGATGTGGCAATGAGGACGGCAAGTATGGTCTTGGCAAGCATTGACAAAGTATGAGGCTCGACTTGTGAGGGTCGTAAAGCTTTAGGCAATTGATTATTGGTACTATAAAGTGTAATGGGTTCTGGCAGTGCCCAGGACCTCATTTTATATCTCGTACCGTAAATTTATGACCGTAACCCTGACATGTATGTCATTTTGACACCGACCCTGTATAGCTTACTGTAGGGTTTGTTGGGTCGGGACTTTGGCGGGGGACCTTGGCGGCACGAGGCCACGAGGGAAGTGCCAGAAGGATCGATGAAGGGTCATTTCCTTTGAATTCGTCGTAGATTCATGCGACATGATGTCCACCACCAACCCGCTTTAGTTCAGTGGAATGTCGAAGAACTCGAAGGAAATACAAGACATGGCATTGCGTTTGCTATACCTACAGTAGAGCCTGGTGCCAGTTTGCAATGTGGTGATAAAGTAAAGTGGTGGCGGCGTTATGTTCAACGATCGTCAAACCGTCTTGATCATAGATTCAAGGCATTCTTGCACACCACCTACCACTCCATCCCGCAACGACGAACTTGAGTAGTCGGACCCTGAAAGACTGTAGAAAGTTGAATGAAAGCAAGGAACGAGGAGGACAGCAAGTATTGAGTGGGTGTTGAGATTGTGTTAGTTTGCCGCTTTCCCCAATGCTGTCCTCAGTTCTACCGATGAATGGTGATCGCTGGCTTTACTACATCATACGACATATCTCCTACTTGGTGCTACATACACTGCCTTTACAACCACTTGTACCTGCGCAACAATCCCTCCCTGAACTCTTCATCTTCAGAGTAGTCCACCAATATTTTGCGGAGTTCGTCAGGTGGGTTGAGGCCTAGTTTCGAAGCGCGGTTCCACCTCTCCAGCCTCGTTAACCCGAGCGAAGGACCAAACTACAAAGGAAAGTGTAAGTATACGAGAGATTATGATATAGTGATCAAAGAAGGCCTGTTGCGCTGTACCTTTGAATCTAAATCAAACTGCCGCAGCTTTTCAAGCAGCTCCAACCTCTCCTTCGAAACGTCTATTTCAATGTAAAAGAGAGAACGACGATGAGATAACGCATATCACGTTTGAATCTTTCGTACCTGCGTGCTGTGTGGTTGATACCTTGCCTTGCTGTTGTTGTTGCTGCTGCTGTGGAGTGGGTTTCACCCTCTTAAACGACCGAAGCCCTTGTTGCTTCGTCGGTGTCGTTGCACCCTGCTGCTGCTGATCATCAAAGGAGTAAGGTCGGCGTTTGAGTGTAAACTCTGTAGAAGGTGGGGAGGAAGGTGGTGACATCTCCTCTTCGAACTCATCGAAACCATGATCATCTTCATCTGATTCGGCTCGATCGCGTTTGACGACGGTCTTTCCCTTTGATGATGTTGATTTAGGTGTCGTTAGTCCTCTTCCAACATTGGAAGAAGGATCTTTGTATTCGAACGACTTGAAGAGTTGTTTTGCATCTGAAGATGTGCGATCGGATGTCGGTGTGGATGGGGTGGGGAAGTAGGCTGATCTCGATGTCTTGGGAGTAATAGGGGTTGCGGGTTTTGGGGGCATGTTGCTGGTTTGGATTCGGTCGAATGGATGATGGCCTTCGATCAGCGGCTGAATGATGATAATGATGATGATCAGAGAGTGATTGTGTACACAGATACGGCTTGCGTTGGATCGCTGTTTGTCGCTTGGGTCGATCGCGGGCTGGGGGGGTCAAAGCAGCAACTTGACAAGTTGCATGCAACAGACGTCGAACAAAAGTCAAAACAAACCAAAACGATTCGAATTACAAGGACAGTATACAAAACTCACCAAATCTCGCATTATATTCTACGATATACATGTATTTCCATTATTCATCCCAAAATCTAGCATTATCTACATCTATCACATCAATCTATACACCGCGTTCCCTACCCAACAGACTCTCCCCCAGTACTCATCGCCTCCCCCACCTGGATCCCCCCCGTCGGCGACCCAGGCCGACTCAAAACCCTCTCCTTTATTGAAACAGGCTGCGTCCCTTTCGTAACCCACCCAAGCGTCCCCGCAGCACCTCCCCACAAACTCGAAAATCCCCATCCCCCGGCCGAATTCGTTCGACTTCCCAACGGAGTCGAAGACACGGAGGAGAGGTGGTCGGTGGAGATGTACGCGACTGCTTGCAATGGTGAGGTACCTAAGGATGCGGATTTTTTGGAGGGGATAGAGGGGGGTTGGAGAATGAAGGAGTCGAGGTGTTCATTTCCGGCGTTGGCGGTGGTGGGTGTTGGGGTGTTGGTTCTATTGGAAGCAGACGAGGAGGGGTCAAGCGCAGGTGGGGGTTCGACATGTTGCAGCTGAGAACTTTCAGAATGAACTCCGTTCCCCAGACGTGAAGCCTGCACCGCCGCCGTCAAACTCGGCTTCGTCGGTTCAACAAGGTCATCCAAATGATGCACCACACCTCCCTGCATCTCTTCCTCCGCCTCATCCTCCCCCTCCACCTCCGCCCCATCCACATCTTCAACCTTGGAACTCGTCTCATCCTCCTCCCCCTTATCCTCCTTTGCAAAACTACCCCTCAAAGGTCTCAGCACCTTCAACTCATCATGCGACTCAATAAACTCTGTATTCGTCTCCGGTCCGAAACTTGAAGCCTGACTCATCTCCACCGGATGCGGCGACGCTGTGCGCTTATAGGAAGTCGAAAGATCAGGAGTAAAACACAGACGCGCGGGAGGGTCGTCCAGTGAAACATCGAAATCTTGCTCGTCTTCGAATTTGGTGCTGTACAAAAAATGATCAGTATCTTTGAAGGTTAGGAAGGGAAAAACGTACTCGTCCATGTTCTCTACAGCCTCCAGCAACACCCTCAAGTTCGGTAAGGTGTTTCTGAGATTCCCAACCTCCAGGCCTAAAAAATTCATCAACTAATGCAAAACACTTATTATTACCCTCCACTTATGAAAACAAAACCGGCCGGTGTGTTCTCTTACCTGTTCCACATCCTTGTTCATCAGATAAACTCCATACTCAAACCTCGCTCTATCCACCCCTTTCGGATACAACGGAAACCTAAAGAAAACAAATACGTCGTTAACAAATCAACTCAGGAAACAAAAAAGGGTGTGTACATACTCCTTACTCCCCCCAAAATGTCTAGAAACCCTATCCAAAATCGTTGAGCGGGATGACATGGGGTTCATAGGGTATCGCAGCGGGATTTGGAGGTATCGAGCGATCATGATGATGAGGTGGGAAGTATAGCCAAGGGCTGTGGATATTTTTTCGTCGTCCAGTGCTAGTTCATCAAGAATGTGAGTAAAGCAAGTGTGGAAAAAGGGTGGCGGGTTGCGACTTACATCCACTGAATTCGGAGTTTGGGAGGTATATTCCCCGGATGGTGCAGATCAGAGGATCCTTTTTCTAGCAACACCAGTAAACTGGTACTCAGTCTATCAATCTGGTGAGAAATGGTGGGCGTACGCTTACATATTCAATCGGATAAACTCCTCGTAATCCCTCCATCAAATTCTTTTGCAGAGTATTGACGGTTCGTATAAGCTTGTAGCAGCTGACACTATCAAAAAGATTAGTGACTCTTTTTTCTTCAAGCGAGAAGTTTCGTTTGTTTACCGCTCACGACTCAAATCTGCTTGCATGTGATACATTTTCTCTCTCGCATCTTCTCTATCCTTTTCCGACTCAATGAGTTGCGCTCGACGCCATCGAAGCTCTTCTCTGGTTTCCAAGAGTTTCAATCGACCTACAATCATAAGCGATAAGTAGCTAGGAATAAAAAATTAACTTATTTAACTACGTACTGGATTGAACAACCTGCGATTTGCTCATCACCTCCCTCTCAATGTATCGCACCCTTGCTTCCTCGTCTCTGTATTCCCTTTCGCACTCCTAAACACGTAACCATCAATAAACAACGAAAAAGTGATGGGAAAGAGATACCCCTACATGAGCTTCCCGAGAGGACGGACAGTTGAGCATCTCCTCCGACTCGAGGATGAGGGAGCGTAT